ACTACTACGGTGCAGCAGCTAATGATGCAGAGTTCGATAGAAAAAGGTAAGATAAGAATACTATATAACCATACTAATGTAATAAAAAAATAATACAAAGCCAGGGCAGACTGAGCCTACCCTATCATTTACCTTACATTCTATACTAGGCCTAGTTACTACGAACTACTAATATAGGCCTAGGCCAGGCGTAGACTGCTGTCTGTCTCAGTCTGTCTGTCGGCCTAGGAGGCCTAGCCTAGTAGTAGTAGGAGTACTAGTTTTTAGGGCCTAGCCCTATGCTCGGGAGGGCCTAGGCTCATATTTTGTCCAATGTATTTTAAAGTTTTATTTATTTGAATGTCTGCTGCTTTGATATTGTGTTTCCCCATTTTATTATTGAATTTCTTCGTATGTAGGCTATGTTGTTATAATATTAGGCCTATTAGTATTACTATAATAATAATATTATTATTGTTATTATTTTTTTGGTTTATTGCCGTTTTGACTCATTGCCATTTTGATCCATTGCCGTTTTGGTAAAAAAGTGTGCCGTTTTGACTTACTGCCATTTTGGTTTATTGCTGTTTTGACTAGAAAGCCACCTTCTTAAAAATTTATTGTCCTTTTTATAATTTGCAATGTACTGTATTACAATCATTTTTTGTCTTTAATTCAACAGAACATGGTAGAGTAGTGGAAAGTACCTAAATGAAGATGGAAAAAAAAACCAGATAATGATGGACAGGTAAGTTGATCTGATAAGTTATTGTTAGTATTATATCGTTTTAATTCTATAGTTACCCTGTCAATTGTTGCTCATTAACCAATTGTTTTTTACTGTAAACATACAGTATTTCAAATCTCTGAATTTTCAGATAAGTGTTGGCACATCTCACAGATACGTGTGAAAATCATTCATCCCATCGACCATTTTTGGCTATCAAAGAAGAGAAACCTGTGCTCACAACTACAGAAGGATGGATCAGCCCTGGTAATACAAATACAAGGTAATTACAATGTGAATTGTAAACATTAAGCCTAAAGATAAGCCTTGTGGTCAATTACATGAAACATAATTATTTGGTTTTTTTTTTGTTGGCCTACAGTAGAGTTTGATTGATTGATATAGTAGCACGTCATACTGTATTCTTAATTGT